TGGTATTGTTCTCCTTTTCCATCTCCGCCTCTGCCTTTGCCTTTGCCTTTGACTTTGCCGGTGTCTTCTACTTCTATACTGGTATTATTATACTTCATTGTAAGAAAACGTCCGAAATTGCAATCCTGTTGCATGGTCTACAATAAGGACATCAGCTCCAGGAAAGCGAGCACCAACAGGCAAGCAAACAAACAACGGATGCTGCACTGAAATGAAATCCCAAAAGATGTTATAATTTTTGTCAACACTTCTATTTTAATTTCAAAAAATTTTATTACAACATTTTGTGGTAACTCATCGTCCTACGCCCGAACTGCTCCTCAAGGAGAACCCGGAAGATGTTTGCTTTCCTTGTGGCCATAATTGTCATTGTTTGTAGATTTCATTTGCATAAAAACTAATTGTGTGAATTCGTAACAATGAAAAATTTCGAATTTAATTTTGTAAAAATGTAATTAAATTAGGATGAGCATCAAAATGAAAATAATTTGCTTCAAATGCAGAAATCAACAAGAGAAATTCTAATTCACCAGAACAAACCATTGAAGATGCATTGTAGTTCCACATAATTACTTCAATGACTTCAAAATTTAAAACCTTCAGAAATCTGACACAATAAATTGCCATTATAGGTTTTGTGTAGCATATCCGGTTTAACATATTTTATTCAAATTGAATTCTGGACAAGTAAAACCATCTTATTAGTTATAACAACATTTTTTTATTTATTAAAACACACTTCGACTTTTTTAAAATGTACACTATACTAAATATACGAATATGCAGACCCGTTTAAAAATATTTGGACTTCGGTGCAAAACTTAACCACTAGATATATCCACATTATTGCAATAACTAAGCAGGCAGTGCATTAAACGAAGCATATACATTTTTTTAAAGAAATCAATTTTCGTAGTACTCGTAAAATTTCTGAAACTCTATAAGGATAATCAGACCATCTTCGACTTCTCAAAATTTGCACCAGTGTCTGCTTAACACCGTGCAAGTAGGAATCTACAATTTGGATTCTATTTCATTTAGGTTTAGGTTCCATTGTGGAAACCGAAGTAACTGATATTTTTAACGTATTTTTTTTTAATTATACGACTTCATTTAGTTTTAACTTCATCACTTTTAAGTCTTACTAACTTCAGCTGAAGGATAATGTTGACATGTCTGTTGGATTGTTGCAATTGACATTTAGTGCTTACTGCATCCACTCTGGATTGCGCAAAAGCCAACAATGAAATTCTAAATTTATTCAAATTGCAATTGGATATTTATATTTTTTTTTTGGTTTCGTTTTAATTTTTATTCCCAACAGTTCTTGCACTTGTATCTGTTTTTAGGATGGTGACTTTAACTAGAAGTCTCGTTTTGGATGCATGCTTTGTCAAGCTTATCTGGCATTTGCTACTTCATCCTATGTTGGTAAGGGAAACATTTTTCCTTTTTATATATGAAAAGTAAATTGGATTTAGTTCATTGCCTGTAAAGTAAAAGCAATGAGAGCCCAAGCCAAAATGGAATTTCATTTGTCCACAAATTTTATTGTTGCAATCTTTATCTCAACATTGAAAATAAGAGCAGTGAAAATTATTAATAATATTAATTCATCAAAAAATGAATTCATGCTTCACTCAGAGAGGGATATAGATAATTAAAAATGATTCGAACATACTATTATACATATCAACTATCCACATATTAGTACAGTATTGCAATTTATCTCAATTATTTGGAAGTAGCAAATAAAATAAGAGTTATCCCCTCCATGTTCTCACATACAAGAACATAAAAGAGTTTAGAATAAGAATAAGTAGTGTTATATACATACGAAAATAAAAAGCACCTTACCAACAAACTGTGAAGAATAATGTGGCCCTATGCTTTGAAACAAAAAGGATAAGAAAACTTTTACAGAGGACAAAGTTGCTCGGGCTTGGACATCAATTGTATTATATCTTTTTGGGAAATCTAAGCTCTCAATTTCAATGAAAACACAGAACAACTCATACAAAAATATCTGAAATATATGAAACAAAGCCTTGCTTTTCTCATCCTGTAGTAATCGTAAGGAAAAGTTTTATCTGATGCGGTGGACACCTTCCTTGTACAATGGCCACTCCCGCGATATAACACGTATGCAAATATGAGTTAAAATAAAAGCTATTACAATATTTAAATTAAACAATGTTTTTCCACAATAGCTTCATTCTTTTTTAGAACAAAAAACTGTTACTGGATTTGAAAATCGATTTAGAGAATTTCTGTGGTTTAACAGTTTTTAAGAAATTCGCAAATTGTGTAACAAAATCTGTTGAAACGCAACAAAAGGATTCCATTGTTCGAACAAAGCATTGTTGGAGTTGCTGGTCATACACCCACACATCCAGCGCATAACTTCATATAAACAAACAAAAAGTTATACGAATTGCTGGCGGATCAAACAATAAAAACAAAGGAATTTTTCTATTGTCCTTACGCGAAACTGCAGTATCCACGGCGTGAGGTATCCTTTTAAAGCGAAATTGTAAATAATGGTCAGGGAATTGTTTACGTTCATTATTTGCAGTTTCATTGTTGCATTATTCACGTGCGTGCATTAAGGAGTCCACACAGCAAATGCACCCGCAAACTGCATAGCTGCACAGGTGCATTTCAGCGATGTGCAGACTCATTTGCACATACTCGTACTTTAATCCATTCGCTCGTTGTTGGAACACGCCACTGCTCGTAGGCATCTCGTATAAATGCTAGAAGATATTTCCAATATCATCTTCAAAAATCGGAAACAGGACAGCCTGAGAGTTGTCTTAAAATTTTAAAAATTCAATTTTCTTATATTTAAAGTTATTTTTAGACATACCTGAGGCGCAGATGAAATTACAGCTCGAAACTAGTTTGGTGGACGGTAGTATCTGCGAAAAAAAACATCTGGCAACAATCCTTTGTTGGTGAAGTGCGAATATTAATGCTTCGTACGTTCGCGATATTGCTTTTGTTTTTCCTGTACCCCGCAGTGTTCAGCTTACGGACTTACACTGTAATTGTAAAATGCATTCATATTTGCACGATTCGCACGATGCTTTCATTTCAGCTCATTTTTAATAGTTTGCCTTTATTGTTAACTTTTATTATTGCTTCGGATTTTACGAATGTTGGCATGCCTTTATTATTGCTGAGCAGGTATTAAGTTGCAAACAAAAGAGGATATCCCCGGTAAATACTTGCATTTTGATGAAAGAATACATCACCGCAGTCGCACAACAGTGGCGTAAAAGTAGAAACATCTGTGGGCTACTTTTCTTCCACTCATTTGGATCTAATAATAAATCTGGAAGTAGCATATGAGTCCACTTCCTGAAAGCAAGGGAACATATCCGATGAAACACCTACTGTACTTATTTGGTTCTACGTTTAATATAGTATGGTTAATTTTTACGTTATTTGTCATAATTTTGAATGAAATTTAATAAGTCATATGTTAAAATTCAAAATATAATCACAAAATTTTTTTAAAATTTGTTTAACAGAATATTGAACATGCAGTTAAAACCTCGTCTAAAGTACTAATATACCAATGGACCTATAGGATCTAAGTAAGGTTGCCAACCTGACTGCCATAATAACCTAATCCAAACTAATACTACTACTAAAAGCTAAATATATACTAAAAGATACTAAAAGCTAACAGAATGTAAAAATATAGGCTCATTGGTTATTTCCTCGTAAATAACAGGATAAGGAAAATTTCGTAGGAAACACGAGCTTACATGGCGAAATACACATGTACTACACACACATAAAGATATTTGAATGTGTTCAATGCAATAAATAATTTAGTGTGAAAACAAACAAAAAAATTGCGAAAATTCTATAAAAAATTAGATTTTGGCTTTCTACTTTAACGAGCGGAGCATCAAAATTCGTACAAATTGCAATTGCAAAACAGCACAAAACTGAAATTATGTTGCTCATACCTCACGTTGACAACTCCATAGCAGCAACAGAGGCAGCAGAAGCAATGGCAGCAACAACACATCACACGAAACCAATAGCAACCAGGAACCAGCAGCCAGCAGCCAGCACCCAGCAACGTGAAAAGCAATTT